AAAAAAAATTGTTTTCTTATCGGTCACCACGCTCAAAAAGTGTAACTTGATTTAATATCAAAGACTTAACAGCATAAATAAAATAAATAAATAATTATAATTGCATAAGTTGATAAAAAATGCTATGCAATAGCTTTACCGCGGCAATCACCGAGTGCCACACGTATTTTTTTTCTTGTAGATTATGGGTTACAAACGATCAGACAGGTCAGACTCAAAATACAGATGTGTTGTCACCCCTGAGTAAGATGGAATGTTTCGTGTATCTGTAAAAAGGGTCTTCGGTTCTCTTCACTCACTATACGAAATACAGCAGCATTAAGATTTCACGCTGGTATTCTGTGAGAGCGTGGTCCTAATCCGGCCGAGCCAAAGTAGAACTAGGTACTTGCATTCAAATTATAATTTAAGCCCTTAATGAATGTAATTTAAATTTGAAATTAACACTTTTATTACAGTAATAAGGGGAAGATTCTATGTTCATGTTTTATAACAAGTTAATAGGTAAATTACTGACGATAAATTTACAGATGAATCTTATCATTATCATTACAGCCCTTCACAAGTCCACTGCTGAACATAGGCATAGATGAATCTTATGAATAACCATAATGGTGTCGCAATCACATATGTACCTTCATGTAATTTCGGAGCTAGAATTTTTATTTGTTTGCATTATAAGGCTTCAATCGCATTCGGGAATGGTTGTGGGTCACATCTAAATTTTTTTTATATGTTTTCTCAATAAATTTCCATTAACAGAATCGGTTACAGTATGTATTATTAGGTATTTCTCTTCGAAGGTACAAATAAGTTATTTCAACGGATTGAAAAGTGGGTAGGTGGAGAAAATATTGAAAAGGAAAAATAATTTCCTTTTTAATCTCACCCCTTTCATTCCATGAACTTTTTTAAGCCCCTTCGTACTCATTGTCAATCGGACTCTGAAACCATGGGTTCTGTAAAGCACCTGGCTTCGAGAAGTAAACTAAGTAAAAACTTTTAAAGTTCACGCAATAAAATCCATAAAATTAGTCTTATTTCAATGTGTAGTTCGTGTACATATCGATTGACTTGACCGACTGAAGGAATATTTATACAATAGGTACTTATATTTATATTTTGTGTCGAGGCAATGTTGCAAAGACATTGTATGCTTTCGAAAAGTACAACAGGATGAGCCAATTCTGTGGGAAATAACAGGTTAGCGTTAATTATTAAAAATGGTAAAAGTGTGAGAGCCAATGTTCTACTAGCTAGTAGAATGACTTCACTCGTAAAATGACTCAAGCGGAATCTCTCGCGCTCTGCACCTACACTGCACTTTACAAAAGAGTGAGAGGGTTTCTCGATATACTCTCAATTCCAACTAGTCACGCAATCGAACCGGCATTTTATAGATTCGCCTACAAATATAAATATCTGTGGATTACAACATCACGTACCATCAAGTGGACTCTGTGCTAGTTTTTCAATCATACTCTATAAAAAATCATCGCGTGAGTGTCTTAATAGGCGACAGAGAGATGACACGGCGGACACTTTCACACTAGGTTAATATTTTACAAAGTAAATTGGTACTTTCTAATTACACGGTCACCACATGAAATTTTAAGAGATTTTTAATCCAACATTCGCCATTCAATGACAAAAACGAAAATAGTAGGCAATAAATTAAATTAAAAATAAATAATATTATTTTAAATATTGAAATACCCTTGAAATATCACAGAATAAAAGAAATACGTTAGCAGAATTTCGAAGGTCAACAGGAAATATTAAAGTTGCATCATATTAAAATAATGACAAAGCATTATTATAAATAAAGCATTTCCTGAATGATAAAGCACAATTTTAATAACTAAAATCATCACACACATTTCACGTGATGAGATAAATACAATTTTTATAATCTTACCAAGTGTTTGGTCATTACAACTTATTATTCATTAGTTTTTAGTTGTTACATGTATCTTTATTTGAAATAGTTTTTTCTTCCTTTAAATAAAATAGTTTAAAAACATATATGAGGACGAAACTTATAATCACCAAATTATAAAATATAATTTTTTTAATTATTAGAAATTTCGTAACACATCTATAAATAATCTAGTTTGATATCTTCCGTCCTTTTATACCCATTATCACTACTGATAGTTTAATTGGAGTTTTATAGCCATTTTCACCACTGATGACTGCGGTGAAATTTTATAACTATTTTCGCTACTGATGAATCAGGTAGAATTTTATACACTAAACGAATTTTCACTAGGTGGTAAGATTTTTTTCCGCATAGGAGTCCTCAGGCGAACTACTTACCACTTCTATCAATTTCTGCCGCCAGTCCTAACTGAGGGTAATTTGATATAATTAAGCATATTTTTAATCTTAGTACCCAAATTCTTAAGATACTAAATCTTTTAAGAATCCAATGCAGTAGTTTAGCAAGATAACTCAATTAATTTGTACAATGCACCAGTTCTCTACGGGACCGCTTGAAAGAAAATCCTAACAAATAAGTCCAAGGGGGAGGTTGCCTGTTAGTTTGGACATAGCGAAGGCCTCCTTACGAAGCTTCCTTCCTATGAGCTTCCCGAGAAATTGTGCAATTAGATCACCAGTTTTCTTGGAGATCGGAGCATCATGGTCGTAGTGGACGGTGTATGTCAGCGTTAGCGGGCCATTAACGCTGGTGTTCCACAAGGCTGCGTGCTATCAATGACATGTTGCGAGCCGGTGACATTCATTGCTATGCGGATGACAGCACTGGTGATGCTTTATACACCGGCACAACGGAACAGAACTAAAGTATTTAAAAATCGCAGCAGCATTTTGTATGTGTTCATGAGGAAATATTAAACTCGCATCATATAAAATTATTTGGACTACATCATTTACTGAATGATAAAGCACAATTTTAATAACTAAAATAATCACATACATTCCGCGTGATTCGATAATTACAATTTTTATATTCTTACCTAGTATTTGGTTAATACATCTTATTATTCACTAGCTTTTCCCGCGACTTGGTTCGCGTAGCATTTATTTTGAAGTTTTGTTTCTTGAGATTACTGATTATGTTTTAAAACTAGATCACTGTTTCAACTCATACAATAATAGTTTTGATAATTTTAGTATACGGAGTAATATCGTTATTAAACCGATTAAGTACATGGAAGATTTCAACATGGTGGATATCGTGTTCGTTCAATATTATATTTAAATGAAACTTAGTAACGTAGATATGCACTAACATAATATAAAAAAGAACCTAAAAATGGTTTAACAATAACTTTAATTATGATTTCTTAAATTTACGCGAACACTACACATTGAATAAAACTAAATTTACGGATTCTATCGCGTTTATTTAACTGATTTTACTTATTTTTAATTCCCGACGTTTCGGGTGCTTTAGAGCAACCACGGTCACGGGGGGGGGACTGAGATGTTTGACGTCCAAATGTCATTGTTAGCCCGGCTACCTTCAGTTTTTGAATATTAATTTTTGGTCCGATTTACGCAAAACTAACTTACAGTATCTTGAAGTCTTGCAGTGGTGTGCTTGGGTTTGGGTTTAATTTTGTTAATTATAGGATCCCAAGCAGATGGCAGCACCCAACCAACTTCTCTATTGAAATTAGGATGTTTTTTTAATTTCAATAGCCTCGCGTATCATCCTTGGTAGGAATCGGTGTTCTTTTGCGAGGATTTGTGGTTTATCAAATCTGATGTAATGGTGGGGACGATCTTGAACATGTTCACAGACTGCAGACTTTCCGGAGCGTCGGTGCTTCACGTCAGCTATATGCTCATTCACGCGGGTTTTTATGGATCTTTTTGTTTGACCTATGTAAGAGAGACCACATTCACAATCTAACTTGTACACTCCTGCATCTTGTAGAGGGATATTACACTTGACGGATGGTAAAAATTTCTCTAAAAACCTTTGTTTCAGAGAGCACGAGGGATCTGTGACAGAAAACATCTGGCCGGCGAGCTGCAGCATGTCAAGCAAGTGTTGCAAGACAACAAGCTTCGGATCCTGCGCCTACGTCACAGTGACCGAGTGAAGCCGGCCACAGTCGAGCGTGTGCCTGCTGTACTACCATATGTCAGAGGAGTCACAGACAAGGTTGGCTACATCTTGAAGCGAGCTTCCATTAAAACATACTACAAGCCGCCGAAGAAGATTAGTCAATTTTTACCATCCGTTAAGTGTAATATCCCTCTACAAGATGCAGGAGTGTACAAGTTAGATTGTGAATGTGTTCTCTCTTACATAGGACAAACAAAGAGAGTCATAAAAACCCGCGTGAAAGAACATAAATAGCTGACGTGAAGCACCGATGCTCCGGGAAGTCTGCAGTCTGTGAACATGTTCAAGATCGTCCCCACCATTACATCAGATTTGATAAACCACAAATCCTCGCAAAAGAACACCGATTCCTACCAAGGATGATACGCGAGGCTATTGAAATTAAAAAACATCCTAATTTTAATAGAGAAGATGGTTGGGTGCTGCCATCTGCTTGGTATCCTATAATAAACAAAATTAAACCCAAACCCAAGCATACCACTGCAAGACTTCAAGATACTGTAAGTTCGTTTTGCGTAAATTGGACCAAAATTTAATATTCAAAAACTGAAGGTAGCCGGGCTAACAATGACATTGGGACGTCAAACATCTCAGTCCCCCCCGTGACCATGGTTGCTGTAGAGCACCCGAAACGTCAGGAATTAAAAATAAGTAAAATCAGTTAAATAAACGCGATAGAATCCGTAAATTTAGTTTTATTCAATAACTTTAATTAATAAAAAATAAGGAGGGAACGACAGTTTGTTCGTTATGTAGTAGCGGCGTAAATGAATCCATCACTCCTCCTGGAGGTCCAGTTGTGAGAATTCGGGAATTTTGTTATATCAACTAACATATTAAATCCTAGTCCTAGTTTATAAAGAAAAAACTAAAAAATCATTATACAAAACAAAAATTACTACAATTGTTTTTCTTTTACATATTTAGAAGCATACGATATTGAATATTTAATGAGAAAAGTTATCAATCCTATAATTATTAAAATACTAGATAGAAGTATAAGGACAAGTTCTAATTCATAGTATTCAATCCATGACATATTTGCAGCTGGTGATCGCAAGTGTTTAGCTCCGCCGTGTCGAAGTACATATTCTATCCACCATATAGCACGGTCCAGGGGCGCCTGCGGTTGATCTTGCATAAAGGAGCGCAGTCGTATGATGTTTTCACGATAACTAAAAAAGGGAGGTTGGAAATAAATGTTTACACAGTAGTGCAATGTCTTTTTTTTTTTTTTTGAAGTGTATTTGTATAATAACTGTCCTCTTACCAATAGTATAACTGCCACCAAAAAGTAGGGCACCCATTTTGTTACATAATTTAGATCTCATTAGAGTAAGTACTGTTACATCTTACGAAGTATTTTATCATATCCCTCAGAATAGGTAACGCATTGGTATCCTATCCATTTTTATTGGGAATTTGTTGCAGACTTGCAAGTTCCTACAATTTTTAGTAACGCGTTCTCATTTCATAGGGACGTCCATATCAAATAATGTTGGGCACACTTCGACTATGAAAATTTCGTACACAATCGAAATCGCTCATTGCTAGATTGGATGATTAGCATGCTCTTCCCGGTAGACATTGAAATCCCCAAATAATATGAGGACTGTTAAGTCGAATCCATGTGTGTTAAGATAGTTCAAGGGCTCAAGGCTGCCTCGTATTGGTCAAGTAGCGTCTTAAAGGAGCCTATGGAGTCACGAGAATTGGTGCTTCCACGTTAAAACTCTGGATATCACTATGGGGATTTACTCGATAGGAATAGCAGTCGGGAGGTGTTCGGTTGTTCATCGGCGGTAGTCACTTATCATCAGGCGAGCCACATGTTTATTTTCCCTTCCTATTTTAAAGAGAAGTTTGAGAAATTTAAAGTCCACCATACGAGAGTATATAACTAGAACAGAGCGAGGCGGACAAATTGCTCCATAACCCTTTCAGGAATGAGTGGAGGCCTGTGGTTATAAGTGGGACGTAAATAGACCGGAACTTAATTTAACTTTTTTAAACGGTGTTCTATATTTTAACTACAAAATTACTTTTGTTTGTATGAGGTATGCAGTTAATAAAAATTTTAATATTAACAAAAAGATAGTTCTTACCTTTTATCTTCAATTACTTCTATGATTGCATTTTTCAATTGATTTTCAGTAAGGTTTTCTAATAAAAGCTTGATACCAATTTTATGATGAACATATTTTTCTGTATTATACCACTGGTCTCCTAACATTGGTATGCCTATAAGTGGTACACCAGCAGTGATCGACTCGTCTGTCGATTGTAAACCTCCTTGAGTTATAAATAATTTCACATTTGGATGTCCTAAAAAGCAGAGAGCAATTGTATTCTGTTGTTCATTGTGTTACGAATTTCAAATTTCTTTCAAATTTAACTTTTTATTAAAATAAATATCATTATCATCATCATCAAAAGCTTGCGGCAGTCCACTGTTGGACATAGGCCTCTCTCAAGGCACGCTACTTAGCTCGATCTTCGGCTACACGCATCCATTTCTACCAGCCACCTTGCGCAGATCGTCGCTCCATCTGATCAGGGGGCATCCCACACTACGTTTGCCTAGACGCGTTTTCCATTCCAAAACACCTCTACTCCACGGGTTGTCACTTCTGCGACAGACATGACCATCCCATTGCCACATCAGCTTACAAACATGGAAGGCTATGTCAGTAACCTGGGTTCTCCGGCGGATTTATTCATTTCGATTTTTGTCTACCAGGGAAACTCCGAGCATAGCTCTTTCCATTGCTTACTGTGCGACTTTGAGATTTTGTAGCAGCCATATCGTCAGTTTCGGCTCCATAAGTAAGTACGGGCAGAACGCACTGGTTGAAGACGTTTGTCTTCAGACTTTGCTCCGTCGCCGGTTTAGGTGACGAGGAAATCCATTCTAAATACTGCCCAGCCTAACTGATTCCTCCGATCGGCTTCCTACCCGAAGTTATTCTTACCTAGTTGCTATATCTGCTCGAGGTAGTTATATTCCTGGACGACTTCGAGAATTTCACCATCAACAGTAATTAGAACTGGCATGGCGTGATAGTTGAACAAAACTTTTGTCTTGTTCAGATTCATGCACAGATCAACACGTTACTCTCTACTCTGTTCTCCTCTGTATTATTTGCCACACTGTGCGAATATGGTCTATAATACCAAATCCTCCTCGAAACCCAGCCTGTTCCGCAGGCTGAAAGTCGTCGAGTTTTCGTGCGAATCGATTTGTGATGTCCCTCGAAAACAACTTGTAGATGTAGCTCAGAAGCGAGATGGGTCGATAATTTTTCAGCATAGGATCGTCACCTTTGTTATGAAACAAGACTGTAATGCTTCTACTCCACGCCTTTGGAGTTCTCCCATCTCGTAAAATGTAGTTAAAAACTTGATAGAGTTCCTTTAGCAAGGATTGTCTTCCAGGCTTTAAGAGCTCTGTTGGAACTTCATCTTCTTCAGGGGCTTTTCCATTTTTAAATTGGCTGAGGGCCAGGTCAATCTTCCCAAGGCAGATGTCTGGCAGCTCATCGATATAGTGGTCAACGCAGGTCCCGCCTCACAGCTGTCTTCACAAGCTTGGTTGGTGTCATGTGTTCCGATGGTGATGCTGTTATCACGCCTTCTTTTCATAAGCTGAAGTGTCTAATCTTAGAACTTTGACTTTCGACTCATATGTTGCTTGCCACAAAACCTGTTGCACTCATCCCTTAAGATCCTGATCTCGCTCATAAAGAACTCGTCAATATCCAAAGTGGGTCTCAGGGCATCGAATCGGTTTAAAAGTTCTAGTTGGAAGCGTTGGAAGCCAGTTACGGTTCGAAGCAGATTTGGTCGAATCATAGACTTTATCAATCGGGACCTTTCAAGCGTAAAATCAATATTCAGAGTGCATCCAAAAAAGTCGGTGATCATTTCCGGTACTAAATTTTTTGATCACTGAGAAATCTCTGAATATGTGCTTTTTGTCCGTCATGATGAAGTCAATCTCATTTTTTAGTGTTATCGGGACTGTGCTAGGTCTCTTTGTGGCTTCTTATCGAAAAACAAATTCACTAGGAATAGCCCTTCTTTCTCGAGGAAGTTAACCAGCATTTATTCCCTGTGATTTCTGCTTCCAAAACCGTGGAGTCTCAAAATCGATACGACGCCCATATGCTTACCCCCTTTGGCATTAAAATCACCCATAACAACATTGTAGTGGGCCTTAGTGGTGTTACGTATGATCCTAGAAACTTCTTCATAAAGAGTTTCTTCTTCATCATCCGAATTTCCCGAGTTTGGGGCATAAAGTTGTAAGATTGTACAAGGTATGCTACCCGTGTCGACACACTGGAGATTTCTACAATGTTGTTAGTGAGGATCATATAAACGAGGAAACCTACTCAACCTTGGGAAAGGTCGCCTCCCTCCCGAAGTAGAGCAGATGGCCCATTTGCAGGGTATTTTTTTATTGTATGCGAGCAGCTATGCAGGTCTAGGAAAAGAGACCAGTATTACTGCGACCCATAAGATCTATTGTGATCGCTGCTATGGCTATAGTTCACGGCTAAGCCCTAAGTCTTCAATGAATAGTAGGAGTTTCTTAGCCGTGAGCAATTACACTTCTTCTGGGCGGAGTACATAGTTTCCCAGATGAGAGAGATGAGACGTTTGCGCATTAAGAGTCCGCAATCAGTTAGGATGTGTGATATTTCTTCCGTTATGGAACAGAACCGACACATCCTTGAGTTGCTTAGTCCCAGGATGGACATGTGCTTTTTAAGACAACAGTGTCCAGTTAGAGCTCTTGCCAGAATGCGCCATTTATTTTTACTTAATCCCAGGGCTTCTGAAGCGAATTTACGATCAAAAGCCCGGATTAAGGTTTTAGAATGTTTTAAGTCTGGTGTGTCAGACCAGATCTTAAGTGGTTTATTGTGATACAGAGTTTCAAGGGTCAATCGGGCTAGGCTTCTTGGGATTCCACAAAATGGCTCAGGTCCAAATCGTGTGCACTTTGAGCCCTCCGGTGCAAGTTTGTCGGCAAATTCGTTGCCTACAATACCCTCGTGATCCGGAACCCATCTTAAAACGACCCTGTTGCTACATCCCAGGGCGTTTAAGCGGTTCACGCAGTCTCTAACTAGCTTTGAGTTCACTAAGTTTGACCTCAGCGCTAGCAGTGCGGCTTGTCTATCAGAGTTTATATAATGTATATGGTTGACGTAGTGTTTTTGCAGATTGATTTCCGCACATCGAAGTATGGCGAAAATTTCTACCTGGAAGATAGAGGTGTATCTACCCAAATTCATACTAAGTTTGAATTTGGGGCGTACCCCGTAAATCCCAAAGCCTACGTCGAGGTCCATTTTAGACCCATTGGTATACCATATGAGGCTACCGACCTCACAGATAATCTGGCCATTCAGCCAGTCTTCTCTGGATCGTAATTCCACTATATACTTTTTATCAAAAGTGTGTAGTGGACGCATGATATCTGAGATCATGCATAAGACCGGTTATTCCTTACTTGAGTCGAGCATGGATCTCAATCTGTAGGAGAGCAGGCTCAGACTGCCCTGAGCGTTAATCCTATACAAAATAGCCCTCGCCTCCTTGTCTGGATAGAGATCAAGGGGCGTTAGGCATAGAAGTGCATTAATAGCCGCTCCAGGCGATGATCGCATAGCTCCAGTTGTCATTAAGTAGGCAATCCTTTGTAGACTATTTAGTCTGTTCGCAGTCGTCTTTTGGTTGGACTTGTTACACCAGACAATAGAGGCATAGGTGAGAATCGGCCTCACTATGCTGCTGTACAGCCATAAGGCCATACTGGGACGCAAGCCCCAGTTTTTCCCGACCAAACGACTGCACGTACCTAAAGCAATTTTTGCCTTATATATAACAGTTTTATCAGCATTAACTGATAAACTGTTATCCCTACTACAGTTATTTATGGTGTTTAGGGCTCTTTGTATTATTGACGATAAAGTACTTTTGCAAAAGCTCCTCGCAATAATCACAAGGTCAATCAGCATAACCCAATGTGTCAATGCGTAGGTCTGCCATTTTATACAATAGTTGGTCAACCGCAAGAGTCCAAAGAAGGAGTGACAAAACACCTCCTTGTGGGTAGCCTCTTGTAATTTGCAGGGTAATTGTGTCCTCCCCTCTTTGGACTTCACTTAACCCTACAATATTCCACCTTATATTTCCCAGCTCAGCTTCCAGTTCGAAAATGTGTCCGTCTTGCCGCAGAGTCCGTCCATTATACAACGCCAAGTTCAGTTTTTCGTGGTTACCTTATCCCGGGAATTATTCGCACCCCCTGCCTCACCGTTGTCATGACTGAAACCACGGCCAGGAATAATGGGGCGACTAGGAACTGGGAATCGGTTTTTGTGGTGCTACACATTGGAGGATTTGGCCTTAATCGCCACGCTGGGCAAGCAGTTTGACGATTGCAGGGCCAGACACATCGCACCTGTGATGCTGCTGCCCATCACAGGTCTGGGCATTTTTGGTCTGACGAAGACTGGGATGGTTATGTTGCCATCCATCGGAAGCCTTCTCCTTTTTTATGAGGCATTTCCCTCTGTCGGCTCGTACGACATCCACGGGATGAAAGGGAGTAACAGTATTCTAGTCTGCTGCCACTCAGCCAGCCGTGGATGTGTGACAGTAGCCTAGAATACTGTCAAATAATAATCAAAATAAATATCGTCGAAGGTTAATTCAAATTACTCACTCAAAAGATCTGATTGTGGTAGCCATTTAAATATTTTTATGTTTTCTGATTTAAAGGATTTTTCATTACTATCCCATTTCCATATCACATTATAAGGCAGTTGTGAGAAAACACTTTCAAATATTTTAATTTTTTCTTGAGGTAAAGCAGATGGTAGAACGTTGGTTCCAAAACTGAAGTAAATGACACCGTTTTGTGAAGTATCCAAATATTGCTGGAGATCCTGCAATACACATCATTCAGGTTCAAGACAGCAACTTTAAAGTAATGTCAATTTAAATAAAATTTTAATTCATGGAACTATTAAGTAATTTTAACTTAGACTTATATTGTCCCACTAACCTTATCCATTAGAAGGGGCTAGATTGATCTCGTAAAATGTTTACATATTATGAATATAATCAACTTAAACGTAAGAGAGTGTGCGTGTTTCACATTAGATAAAATACATTTTGAATCGCCGAATATTTAAAGAAATAAAAATATATAATACTAAACCAACGAGTTTTACTCGGTGTGAAAATAAAATTAGCAACATATGTAATATCTAGATAATCTTGGAAATAACATTTACTGATTTCAAGTTTTCGATGAACAGGCCAGGCCTTACATGCATAAAACTTAGAAGTGTATTATATTTACTCAGTTGTATTTGGATTAGAGTAATAAATTGCACACAAAAAATAAAACCCTGATTTTATTTTATTTCACGTTGAAACTAATTCTTGTGTATGTGAAAATTGATTTAAACTTTCAATTCCTGTATTTAAACAAGGCAATCCAAAGTTTTTACTGCATGTCTAGTGTGAAACATTTTAATATATTTGCGTGTCAGGATCACCCTACAGGACAGTTCCCGAGCGACTAACGGAATGGCCGCTCAGGAGCACTCCGACCGGATCTCATCCGCAGCCCAACGCCTGATTGCCGCCTTCTAAACGCCTTCGGTGACCGACTGTTAGTAGTAGCACAGAATAAATAATAGTACTATGTATGTAGTAGTAGAGACTGCGGTAAAGCAAACATTTGACCTATTGTCAATAATTGAGTATTTTTTATTGAAGAACTTATTTTTATTTTATTATATATTATGTTCTATTTGAAATGATGTGTACGTACCTTGTAATAAAAATATTTGTAACCTTCGCAACTATATAAATATTATATAATGTATGTGTATATTTAAAATTTGTTGGTAAGCGCAGCTTATAAAACGTCCAATAAAATTAATTTCTAGGACAATTCGATTCCTTTTTTGTTTTCATGCACAACGCAAGCTTGATTTACCTGCGCAATACTGATCGTAATTTCTTTACCACGGGAGTGTGTGGTTGTGTGGTGTTAGTTCGAAATGTGGACATTTATTTATTGCTATTTAGTGTTCTAGCCCATAATATTTAAAGTTAGGCAAAAATAAATTACTAAAGGAAAAAATAAATGACTAAAGACAACTAAAATGTATCGGTGGCGGAATTATATCTCATTTGAATAGCGATATTCATTGCAAAACCTTAGTCGAAAATGATTAATAATTACAATATTCTTAGAGGAAATTTTTGTTTTATCGATATAGAATCAAACTTTTTTAATATATCTTTTGAGTAAATAAAATAAATATAATATACATATATTTATATATAGCAAAATATATAAATGTTGAAGAAAAACACACTGCGATCTTATTTCTGTACATAGCTATTTCTTCTAGACAACTAAAATATAATTAAATAAAGATAATAAGAAATATTGACGGTAAGGGTGCACTATATTATCAAATTAATGATAACAAGTATGCACTGAAAACACAACCGATTTTAGAATGTAGTTTAGTGATCGCAAATTAAAGAAAGAAGGCTTTGAGATACACGTAATGCTCCTTAACCTGTTTCTTACACAAATGTAAAAAGTGGTAAATCTTTTTCAAATTTATTCGACAAAGTTATGGGTTCCAAAAATTTTACTCCAAAAACTGAAAAACATTTAACTTAAAATATAGAATAGCGAGAAAAAATGGGAGAGGACTTTTAAATAACACGCAGTAGAGAGCAGAAAGAATAATATATGCATCCCGATAAAGACGGATTAGAAGCTGCTTGAACTTAGTGCGCTAATCTGGGACAATTCTATTTATGAACAGAAAATATGGCATCGTAAATACATACATAAATAAATTTTGGAGTCGCTCAAGTTGCTCCTCGGTAATATCAAGGTAACTAATATCAACATAATTAAGGATAGGGAGTATTAATAATAACATTATATTTCGCTACACAATACAAGATAATTTACACAACAAAACTAAAATTTATTCTGTGGCACTTAAAAGTTTAAACAAAATTCGTCAACCCATCAACAATTGCTAGATTCTATAACAATAAAATATATGCACGTTTTTATGTATATTTACTATATTTACACTTCAATATACACATTTGTATGTGTATATTAAAATGTAAATACACAGGTTAAATAAAAAAAAAAACATATTAGAAATGAACTTGCCTTTGGTAGTTTCTTTGGTGGTGTTTGGTGTAATCCTCCCATATGTATGACGTTTTGTGGTACTGGATAATTTCCTTCCCAAATTGGATTAATATTTAACAATAACAGATCAACATTATTTTTTAATACGCTTAGAGGTGGAGTGTCAGGACCAAATATACTTTTAATCAGTTTGTTGCAATTTTCTTCGTTGGAACTAAAAATGTGTCGAAACCGAAAATACTTATATAGTTCAGTCACTTTTTCCCATAAATTTAAATTATATAATCTTTGACGAAAATTGTGGTGGTACAAAGTAGGATGCGTTGGCGCTCCCATTATTTCATAATGGCCCAACATTGCACCAAAAGTGCTTACTAAAACTGTAGGTGCCTTAAAATGTTGTGTAAATCCCAGCATAGGTACGAAATATGCTTCTAAAAGTATCAAATCGAACTGCCGTTTTTTATGGTATATAAGGTCTTGAACATCTTTCACGCTCATTATTTGTTCAAATATGTCGTAAACTATTTTAGCGAAGGCAGGAACTTGCTTCATCAAATCATCCTCTTTTCCGGTGACAGTAAGAGAGAAATTATTCCAAATCTTGTATGAAATATCATGGATGTCAATTTCTCTTAAATTTTTCGGAGCAGTGTCATTTTTAAAATAAGGATATGGAGTTATCACAGTAACTTCATGTCCTCGCTTAATTAACTCCATTGTTAGGGTCCGAAATACTATTTGATGACTTATTGAAGGACATGGATATACTGCCAAAATTCTTGCTGCTTCAATGCTAATATTCAGAGCACATAAGATTAAAAATAATTTTGTTATGAACATTTTACTATTTATTTATAAAGTCGTTTCGGCAAATGATTGATTGTACACAAAATCTGTCTTATATAACAGTCTTTAAGCGAAGTTTACATATAACTTCGTCATCACACAAGTGATATAGTCGTTTCTAAGAGATATTGTGTAGTATTATATGGAAATCATTTTATTACATCCAGTTCATAGAAGTCAACTTTTACATTTTGTTAGAAGTCTTATTTAATTACTCTTTTGAGTAGAATAGAGGACATTACTAGCTCGAGTATCTGTTTAAATTGTATAATATGTTCATTTTATTCCATATTTTTGTACAAATAGAATGTTTTCTTCAAATTCATACGATGCCATCCCACTGTACAGTATATTTAAAGAATATCATGAAAATCGGTTGACAATTGACGAAGATATCGAGAACTATATTTACAAATAACAACAAACAGTGGAATAAAGAACCTCCTTTATTGAAGTCGGCTAAAACTAGCTTCGTTTTTATCGATTATAGTAATAACCACATTTTATACAATTAAGATATTTCATTAGGCACTTAACTGTTTCTGCCTAACAAAATGTTTATCAATATTTCAATATGTAAATTTTCGTTAACCCATCAACAATTGCTAGATTCTATAACAATAAAATATATGCACGTTTTTATGTATATTTACTATATTTATACTTTAATATACACATTTGTATGTGTATATTAAAATGTAAATACACAGGTCAAATAAAAAAAACATATTAGAAATGAACTTGCCTTTGGTAGTTTCTTTGGTGGTGTTTGGTGTAATCCTCCCATATGTATGATGTTTTGTGGTACTGGATAATTTCCTTCCCAAATTGGATTAATATTTAACAATAACAGATCAACATTATTTTTAATACGCTTAAAGGTGGAGTGTCAGGACCAATTATACTTTTAATCAGTTTGTTGCAATTTTCTTCGTTGGAACTAAAAATGTATCGAAACCGAAAATATTTGTATAGTTCAGTCACTTTTTCCCATAAATTTAAATTATATAATCTTTGACGAAAATTGTGGTGGTACAAAGTAGGATGCGTTGGCGCTCCCATTATTTCATAATGCTAATATATTGATTGAACATTGCTCCAAAAGTGCTTACTAAAACTGTAGGTGCCTTAAAATGTTGTGTAAATCCCAGCATAGGTACGAAATATGCTTCTAAAAGTATCAAATTGAACTGCCGTTTTTTATGGTATTTAAGGTCATAAACATCTTTCACGCTCATTATTTGTTCAAATATGTCGTAAACTATTTTAGCGAAGGCAGGAACTTGTTTCATCAAATCATCCTCTTTTATTATTCCAAATCTTGTATGACATATCATGGATGTCAATTTCTCTTAAATTTTTCGGAGCAGTGTCATTTTTAAAATAAGGATATGGAGTTATCACAGTAACTTCATGTCCTCGCTTAATTAACTCCATTGTTAGGGTCCGAAATACAATTTGATGACTTATTGAAGGACATGGATGTACTGCCAAAATTCTTGCTGCTTCAATGCTAATATTCAGAGCACATAAGATTAAAAATAATTTTGTTATGAACATTTTACTATTTAGTTATAAAGTCGTTTCGTCAAATGATTATTTGTACACAAATTCTGTCTTATATATGAGTCTTTAAGCGAAGTTTACATATAATTTCGTCATCACCCAAGTGATATAGTCGTTTCTAAGAGATATTGTGTAGTATTATATGGAAATCATTTTATTATATCCAGTTCATAGAAAACAACTTTCATATTTTGTTAGAAGTCTTATTTAATTACTCTTTTGAGTTGAATAGAGGACATTACTAGCTCGAATATCTGTTTAAATTGTATAATTTGTTCATTTTATTCCATATTTTTGTACAAATAGAATGTTTTCTTCAAATTCATACGATGCCATCCCACAGTACAGTATATTTAAAGAATATCATTAAATCGGTTGACAATTGACGAAGATATCGAGAACTATATTTACAAAAAACAACAAATAGTGGAATAAAAAACCTCCTTTATTGAAGTCGGCTAAAACTAGCTTCGTTTTTTATCGATTATAATAATAACCACATTTTATACAATTAAGATATTTCATTAGGCACTTAACTGTTTCTGCTTGACAAAATATTTATCAATATTTCAATATGTAAATTTGTTTTAAAGTTTTTTTAATTGTAATTGGGGGTTTTTGTAGCATTTGTTCATAATATTTTGCATTGTAATGTTACTAAAATAATTAATGTATACTCTTTATAAATTAGGTTTTGAGATAAGAGAAAACCGGAAATAATATATCTGAATCACTAAAATTTATTATTGTTATTCTTACGACGAATTAATAGTCTATTCATTCATCATTAGAGCCTATCGAAAGTTCACTACTGAACATAGGCCTCCCTCACAGATTGTCTCGCAGGGACGGCCATTTGCCATAGTTGCCACGCTTGGCATACTTACAACTTTTTTGTGAATCGGTTAGTAATAACAAACTCAAAAAATTACTAAAAAAAATTCAATCATTCTCGATTGAATCTGTGAAGCTAGTTTTGTCAAGTTGGTATATTTATATGTTGTGTAAACATCTTTGTGGTATAATTATTAGTTTGGAATACTATTATCAAAGACATACTTTATCAAACCATTTTATCTTTACGAAGCTTGTCCACGCTAGGAACAGCTGTTTTTGATAAAACACTTATCCACTCAAGCGCCAAATCGGCGCTGTGAATTATCGGCCAACCGCCAGCAGTCACGCGGCTAGTAAAACGTTATTGACCACTTCCGATCTTGGCGATAAAAGCTAAACGCATATTTGTCCGCATCGTACACAAATCTAACGTATTGTCAAAAACTTTTGCAGTTTTGTCCAACCACTGAAGTAATCAGAGCCACGCTGCGGCTATATTATAGTTGCAGCATAAATGGGTCGGCTCGACCGGGGCAGCATCACCCTCTCACAGAATACCAGCATAAAATAGCAGTGTAACGCTGCTATGTTTCGTATGGTGAGTGTAGAGAACCGGAGACCCTTTTTACAGGAATCGAGGCATTCCATCTTAGTCCTCAGGGGTGACAGCGCATGCATATGCATGTTAAAATCTATGCAGTTTTTTTTCAAGTTATGTATAATTAATTACAAATTAATTATGAGTTATTCAGTTTTGCGTGACGACTCTTTGTTGCTTACACAGTGAAATTAAATACTTCTGAAATGAAGTAAAAATATATATCTAAACTAAAATCGAAACTACCAGTTCTAGTGGAGAATCTACTAACTTGGTAACGTTAGATTGCGTTACTAGTAAGTATCAACACGCGCCGAACGCACCGCATTACATGACGTCTTCAGAATGCATTCGTCAATATTCGAGTACTTAATGCATTTTATGAAATGATGCGCGTACTGTTAGGAGGGCCGCTCTGAAGGTGTTTTTAAAAAAAAACTTTTACACCCAATCCCGGAAGTTCTTTTGGTTTATTTCCCCAATATTAAAATAATACAAAAATGTACAAAAACCGCGAACGGCGTGTGCGATATGCACTTAATATGGGTTGGAGCTGCACTGCCTCGATTACCTCAAACTCTAGGCTCTTATACTAAATATAATAATCGAGTCAGCGCTTTTAACTAACTAGGGTTGGACATAACATATCCACCCTTTTGACGGAGCTCATCTTTCTTTTTAATAAGGGATGAGCAGAGTCTTACAAACTATACAGCGAAAATCAAAAGATAATTCGAATACAAAAATAATTATAAAATGGTAAAATATAATTGGTTTAATTATTTCTTATTATTATAAAATCAAATTGAGTTGATATAAAGACATAGTAAAATTAAACTATTCTTAAACAATATCTTCACAAAATTATTATATTTTATAAGATTCAGTGAATAATGAAATAGTAAAAGATTTAGTGTTAAATTAATTTAACACAGCACACAGCTAAGATTTATTTATTTTATTTTTATTTCAAATACAAACATTTAATAATATTAATATCTAAGACACAGTGTATAAAACAAATGTAATTTTAAATTCTAATAAAACATTATGATATACCTAAGTATAGGAAAGTAATATAGTAATTAATTATTACATACGTTTCGGTTTGATAAGTTAAATTTACCAAACGTACTTTTCATTTGGTTTTGCACTGGCATATTGGGTAAGGATATACATAGAATCCTTTGTGCAGAACTTGCTTGACGTGCTGAAACTCGGCGGCTAGGTGTTTGCTGTCACAGATCCCTCGTGCTCTCTGTAATAAAGATTTGCTTACGGTAGCTAACTGTGAAGGATGATGGTGAGATTGACCGTTTAAATATCGGTTTGTATGGGTCTTTTTCCTATACACATTGTGACCAATGGTGTTGTTAGGATTTCGGATGACTAACACATCTAGGAAAGGTATGGAATTATTTGCCTCTAACTCGATAGTAAATTGAATTTTAAAGTTTATGGAATTATGATGTTCTAAAAATGCAGTTACATTGTCTGATAGTAAAATTGTGAAAGTATCGTCTACGTACCGCTTGTAGATCTTCTTTGATATTTCGAGCTCCGACTCCTCTTTAATCGTGGTGGCTAGTCTACTTCCGAGTAAGGCCGCTTGTAGCTCTAGCCTCGGAATTGATACTGGTTTTGTTGGGGTTACTCTCGTTTTGCCGGCGATCATGGAGACATGGACTTTCCCTCCGGGCTCGACTGTTCTCCAGTAGACTACTGCTACGTAGGCTTCTTTACTTGCATCGGTGAACGTATGTAGTTGTCCTCTTCTGCCGTTAGGTGAGACGCATCTTGGAATCTTCAGCCTTGCTAACGTCGATACTTCTTCTAAGTAGTTCATCCATGCTTCCTTTTGTTGTTCGTT